CCCAATCCCCCTTCCCCCCCAAAAAAATAATTAAGTTTGTTTTTAAAAAATATTTTCAACTTCAATTTTTTATTTTTTTTCACCCCTACCCTCAGCCCCCCACCCCCAAAAAAAATTCAAGTTTGTTTTTAAAAAATAGATTCAATTTCAAAAAATATTTTCTACTCTAGTAAAAATAAAAGATATTTCTCAAAACATTTTTCATTCATAAATCAAACACAAAATATTTTCTACTCACCAACCAAACATGAGAAAATAAGTCAAAAATCTACTTGTTTTCCAAGAAAACATTTTCTAAGTAAACATTTTCCTTCATACCAAACACACCCTTAATCTCTTTGTGAATACCCCAAATGTCATATGATATTCAAGATTTCTCTTCAATGAAATACATACCCCTTTTATTGGTGTGACCTAGGATTTAGGGTGAAGCAACATTCAAAAATCTCTAACAAGATTTAAGAATTGAAAAATATGGATTGGGCTCATCTTGCGGAAGGTCATGTAAAATCTAGTAAACCATACATGTCTGCAAGTACCTTGATGAATGGCACTATTAGCTAATGCTAAAATGGAAGAGAGGAGAGAGTTTGCTCTCACAATGCATAGACTAGAGAGTAACATGAGGTGTGTGGAAATGGAGGAAGATAGAAAAATGAGGATAATGGAAGGAATAAGGTTTACCAAAATTAGAGCTTAATATCAAGGGATTGTTATGTTTCAGAAATTATTTTATTTTAGGTAATAATTTGAAAGTAGTATTAAAACGGATAATTAATTGTCTTTAAGCCGCTATATCACGTAATTTTCCCCTTGAAAGAGAAAGAACAAAGTTTAGATCGAGTTGGACGGGTTCTACTATGACTCATCGTTTAACTCATTATGACCCAACCCATGTTAGCTCAGGTAGACTATTGGCAAGGTGAGACAATGATCCAGTTATTTATTCAACCCATCTTAAATCAGCCCAAGCAACCCATTATTGAATTTCTAAGGAAAGATAATATCTTAGGAATATCAAATCTTGGATTCTGGTACTAAAGTGATAAAAAGTTGAGCATTTTGACATGTGAGATCAGGATTCTAATGAAACTGAAATGTTGAAATGCTGAAGATGCAATTGTTCAAGTGACTTTCAAAAACCAAAGGCAAACAATGTAACAAAGAGGAGGGAAAATGACAAGAACGAGCACAACACGGGGGAAATCATAAAACACTTTTAACTTGAAATCCTCCTCCATTATACAGACCTGCAGAATTAGTTTAGGACCTTAAGAGGGTCCTGAAATCATCAGCTTGATTTGGTAGCCACTGCGAGTTCAACGGATATAATGAAAGTTGATCGCCCAGCCTCTCTTAGGTACTGAACTTCCCCATTCATCAGCTTGACCAGTTTTCTGCTGACAAGTAAGCTGATCCCTTCTTCAGATGCATCGGCTTCACTACCAAACATTTGGCTAAGCAATTCTTCTGGCACTCCACCCCCTGTATGTCTTATCCTGCAATGGTAAGTGTCATTCTCCTGGTCAGCCATGTACAAGTAACAGATGGTGCTGATTCTTGTCATTATTTAAATTCATCTGTTTAGCCTTAAAACTCAATCACCACATGAACACGTCTTGGCTGAATGAAGAAAGAACACACTCCTGCCACTTGAATAAATAGAGGACAAGACCATTCCACATATGCCAACTGAAAGCTTTCTGAGAGACGTATGATTTTCATTTGTTTAACATAATTTTTTTAAGGTTGGTCTCATCAATCTCTAGACTCTAATTGCTATCTGGGGTTATTTTATGTTCAAGTACTAGATGGAAAACTCAACACTAACACCTCAACGCTGAAGGTTGATTTTTCGTTTGTCCAAAGAATGAATAGGAATAAGCTTGAAACAGTAGGAGAGCATATTACACTTCTCTTTGAATTTGAGAAGTCCTACTCAGATACTCGGCTCTCTGATAAAATAGTGAGTGAAGGATGTTTAGGCCGACAGAACAATTTTATTAAAAATTGTGAAAAATATAGAATTAGAATTTATTTTGTAATTAAACTAGCAATTTTGCAATCAATGTATACAAAATAAATGGAGAGAAGACAAGGAAGTAGCAGCTTCAACTGTCAAGGATCAAATGCTATGGCAATATAAGGACTTCAAACACATTGAGACATTGGAGTTCAAGTAAAACTTTTACGTCCCTAATTTGATAGAGAATAAATACACTATCAAACAAAAATTACTGAGGACAGAAATAACATATCAATCACAGGTATTGAGAGAGATACTGGTTAGTTTTTAAGCTTAAAGATGGATTTTGAAATGCTTAGATGTCAATGGATTGTGTAGACAACCCTCAACCTTCTATGTTTTCACGGGAGATGCTAACTTGGACAGCAGATATCTGGTCAAGGTAAAAAAAAAGGAACTTCTGATTTTTCTGTCATATGTATTTACCTGAATTCCAAGAGAGCAAGCTGAACAGATTCTCCTATGCGATCTTTAGTTAGCTTGCCTGAAATACTAAGCTTGCCACCACTTGGTGTAGAGTTCACAGATACTAACAAAAAGTTAGCTAGGACTTGTTGAAGTCTCGGACTATCTCCATATAAAGTTTCATTAAGAAGATCTTCAACCATGTCATTCGAGATCATTATATTCTTTCCATTGCTCTTCATCATGACTTGACTTATGGATGCTACCAATACCTCATGTAGCTTAAACTCGAGCATCTCCAGATCCAAATAACTGGCAAGAGATTAGAGGAAGAGCAAAGATATTACAGTATAGAAAATCATTTAAAGTGATAAACATAAAACTAAAAACAATAAATATTGGACAAGAAAGCCATAATCCAGCAAAGAAAACTTAATATCGTATCAAATGCACAAAAATATACTCCATTCTTGCATAGATCAAATCCAAGAATTTACCTGATGCTACAAAATCATCATACCTTGATCAAGTTTTAACTAAAAAAGGATGAACGGAAAGGAACTCAGGGTATTGAAACTAAAACACATAATATATGATAAAATGGTGTAGCGTACCCCTCTATGATGCTATCAAGATCTGTATCATCAAGAATTTTGTCGAGCTGACGCTGACACTGTGCACTTGTATGCAGTATATTTTTCTGCTCTTCGCCCAAGCTAGTCCCCTCTAGCATCTTCCGAGAGAATATAATCCCAGAAAGAGGATTCCTAATTTGCCTCCTTATGTAAGCTAATACTTTCAACCTTTTCAATGCAGTTTGTTCTGATAATCGTTGAACATGAAGAGCTTGTTGCAACTCATGGCTTGCAAGCTGCAGGAAACAAAAGAGTCCCGTGACTGCACCCTCTTTATCTAACCTTTTGCTCACACAGAGTAAGCACTCCACATATTTCCCGTAACGTGCAAAGAAACCAAAAGGAATCTTCTCAGATTCTTGACCAGTGATAGCATTGTTTAGTATAACTCCGAAATTCACAAAAGCTTCTTGATTCTTGAGACGGCAGCAAGCTGCCTGTGTCCCAAAAACCTCCCCTAGCAGCATTTTATCCATAACATCATCACGCCGCCATCCAGTTAACTTGGTCATCGCAGAGTTCCATTCAGAACACCAGCCAAATTGATCAGTGCCAAATATTGGTGGGATCAATGGGTGAGGATTTTGGATAATCGCTCTATAGTCACCTTCGATTCGGGTGAACTTGTCCATGATACTTTTTTGTCCAGTTATATCCTGAGCAATAAAACACACACCCACAACACTATCCCGAACATCTTTGCTTGCACATGCATTCACGATTAAGCTGATTGGACTAGAATCCCTCGACGGCCCATGTGTTTTTATTTCAAACTCTACATTTCTTTCCTCTTTCCCTGGTTAAAGGAATGGTGTATTCAGTTAAATCTTCGGTACATAATTCATGTAATTGAATGGATGGACAAAAATCATGTGAACTAATCATATTCAAAATAATTAATTAGTGTGGAAAATTAATCTTTTTTGGTACATAATTCATTTAACTGAATGGATAGACAAAAATCATTAATAATATTCAAAAAAATTATATAGTGTAGAAAATCAATCTTCACGAAAAGAGTCATAACATCAACATAACACAGAGGGGGGAATGCAAAAAGATACGTACCCTGCAATGCTAATTCCAACATCTTATTCACGGTATCAACTGATGAATCCTCCACGAGAGTGAGCAGATGTTTCCCAATTGCTTCATCAACAGGAAGACCAGTTAATTCAGCAACTTTAGTGTTCCATCCATTAACCTGCCCATCAACATCAACTGCGAATATAGGAACTGAAGCTGTTTCAATTAAGCGGACCATTTCAGCTGTCACTGCTTCAAGTTCCTGCATTCCATCAATCTTTAGATCATTAAGCTTCGTATGGATGGAAATTGTATTTGAATTCACAGCATCAGCATCCTTGAAAGCATTTCTTAGTATGAGCTGCAAGGAGTGGATTGCATCCATCTCATAGTCCTTCCAGGGTATACTCCTTGTCTTGACAACTTCCAGGAATGCTTTGAATGATGACCTAGGATGCATTTTCCTGCCATCATCCTTCTCACCAGGTTCATGCTTTGCACCACCCCATCTAACTTCAGCAGCAGTGTGTGACCTGTACCAGAACAGCCAGTCCTTATCAGATATTCTTACAGCCGCCATACCACAGACTGCATCACCAAGAGCAAGAGCCCCAGGAAACCCAGCATCATACAAGCTATCCGTACTCAAGCCTGTGGAATCTGTATGATACTCACAAAGCCATGATACTATATCATGCAGCTGAAAGTCACTTGGGTTCATTCCTAATCGATGTATCTTATTCTTATAGAGCAAAGCAGCACCATCACATTTGATGAGATCCATAATGTTGGGGCTCTGTGACACGATACCTAGGGGAGCATCTCGCATCAGCATATCACACAAGAGAGTCTGAGTACGCAGAATATTTTTCTCAAGGAATTGATTTTCCAATTCCAGTTCCTTGTTAACGTGTATGGCAAAGACTTGTGCAAGAAACTCACATGCATACCTCAGTGGAAAGGGGACGAACCTTGGGGTCGTGTTGTGGCAAACAACCAGGCCCCATAGCCTTTTTCTTTTTTGAGATTGTGAAGAATCAGAGCTTTCTCCTTCTTCATCCCCGTCATTGACCACAACTGCCATTACAAGTGATGCAATTGAATTCATGTTCTCCATATACTGTAAATGGCAGTAGTGAGGGGCCCTAAGAGTAGAGCCGCACAATGTTAAGTCAAATGGAAGCTTCTCATCTTGGACTACCTTCACATGTTTTGCTCGGCAATCACAAATCATTCGGACCTTATTCTTCATAAACAAAAACCGTGCAGCCTGTGGAATATCCGTAGCAGGATAATGTAAACCAAGGTAAGGCTCGAGGCCAGGCTTTGTGATCTCAGACACCACCTCTCCATGATCATCATCGTGAAACTTATATCCCATCACCCTGTCATAACCTGTGAGTTCAAAAACCTCCTGAACCATTGTGTCACAAAGTCTTTCCATACTGCCACTGGGCAAGGACTGCAAGCGAGTAATGGCTTTGGCTGCAAGTTTATATGACTGCAGGGCCCCTGCAGCAGTCATGGGAACTTCATAGGGCTTCACAGGCTCAAAATCAATGATTAAGCTACCTGTAACCCTATGAACAATTGCATAAAATGGCTTCCCAGAATTTTTGCAGTGAACAAGGACAGGATTTAACAGAGAAACCTCCCCAAACCCCAAGGCTTTCTGCAATGCTGCGCCACTAGGACCAGTGAAGATCGTTCTGATATCAGTCCCGATGCCAAGAACTGGATGCTCACCAACACTTGGAACAGCATGGCTAACCATGGTCAGCATTTCAGGGGCATTTTCACTGAATGCTATGACCTTTAATGTTTTCTCATCCAGGGCTAACAGACAACCAAATGGCTGGATAAACTTGCCCTTTTGGATCTGATGAAGGTAAGCGGTGGTAACTTTGTCTGACTTTGGCCTTTGCTCACCCTCAGCTACATTTGTAACCCTCACCGAGCTTGAATAGTCAAAGGAATCACCTGACTCCTCAAAGTCTGCATGCAACTTTGCATCAATAGAGGTCTGTGCAATGATCCTAGCACTGTGCTTTGATCTTGATGAAGTGGTGGAAGATTGGCTAGGTCTTGAAGACGACATTTTGACTCAAATCTAAATAGAACATACAAAATAATTACTACAGATGATTAACATTATACATTGAAGCTACAAATAGCAACTGTAAACATCCGACACTGTCAAAGACATTATAACAGAGTTTTAAACTTTTTTATATCAACAAACATAGTAGAACTAGAACAAACACATGTATGATTTATTGTAAAGGCTCTACCTTTCATCAATATGAAACATCAAATCACTATTTGCAGCATAACATTTTCCATCCACTGAAGAATAGAGCCCATCCCGTCCCCACTTCAACAGGAGGGAGGATGATATGTTTAAATAAAAAAAACTAAAAAGAGTTTAACCGAGTAAGTTACCGGATCCACAAATTAGCTCTAGATAATTCAACTATATAACTAAGAAACTAGAAGATGCAGACAAATAGGCATAGCACAGTAAGCTAATAGTTGTTTTTGCTGGATTAACAAACTAATCACAGCCTATTGATAATTCAAGTTTTTAATCACCCTATATAGTACTGTATATACAATATAGCCTTGAAAGTTGAATTTGCAGAGAAAAGTAATTAGTGAAAGTTGAAGATGAAAGAATTTACCTTTCAGAAGCTTTGAGAGGCAACAACAAAGTAGTAGGTTTCAGGTGAATTGTTGTTATAGTTGGTCTGAATCTGAAGCAAATAAACTGGTGCTCATCAGCTATTCCTCGTCTGAAATTCCCCAAAAAAATGGACCACAACTTCGATTTCTCTTAAAGATTTATCGATACCATTAAACACACACTTGTCAAAGCAGATTTATCGATACCATTAAACACACACTTGTCAAAGCAGATTTATCGATACCATTAAACACACACTTGTCAAAGCAGATTTATCGATACCATTAAACACACACTTGTCAAAGCAGATTTATCGATACCATTAAACACACACTTGTCAAAGCAGATTTATCGATACCATTAAACACACACTTGTCAAAGCAGATTTATCGATACCATTAAACACACACTTGTCAAAGCAGATTTATCGATACCATTAAACACACACTTGTCAAAGCAGATTTATCGATACCATTAAACACACACTTGTCAAAGCAGATTTATCGATACCATTAAACACACACTTGTCAAAGCAGATTTATCGATACCATTAAACACACACTTGTCAAAGCAGATTTATCGATACCATTAAACACACACTTGTCAAAGCAGATTTATCGATACCATTAAACACACACTTGTCAAAGCAGATTTATCGATACCATTAAACACACACTTGTCAAAGCAGATTTATCGATACCATTAAACACACACTTGTCAAAGCAGATTTATCGATACCATTAAACACACACTTGTCAAAGCTCATATATACAGTACGTTTACGAGTCTCTATAAATAGCAAGTGAAAGAGACTTTACTAGAAACAAGTGAATTGCCCGATTGTTTCCTTTCCAAACATAGTTATTTGGTGTTAGTTGATGCACCCCAAAATTAGCATAAGCTTCAATCTTCATTTGTCGTCCACCTCTATATAAAATTGATTTAATTTTTTGAAAAAAAAAAAAAACAAACCCACGAGCAGCAAAGTAGGGGATAATATATAATAATTCGTGAGTGGGTGGAAATATAATAATAGTAGTACTCACTAGAAGGATTCTGATGTCAATCGTTTAAATTATAACATTTTTTTAAACAAAGAAAAAGAGATGAGTATACCATACCCACTTGGAGAGGGGGGGGGGGGGGGGGGAGAGAGAGGCCATACCTCGAATAACTAGTTAGCAGCAAGTTATGGACATCACGTGAAGACATCATCCCCTTATCTTTTCAAGAGAAAAAAGGGTGTCAGAATTTGAGACTAAGAAAATGAGCTGCTACGGGAAAATATGGATCTACATTCAAATAATCAAACAGTTTTGGCGTTTCTGAGGTGAATCTGACTCTCCCACGTTACCTAACATACTTTCTCACCATTGAATAAAGTTTTATTGCTCTCTATGTAAAATCAACATTCTAACAAAATTGAACTCATGATGACAAAGGACCCTCTTTGCCTACTCTTTTCACCTTTACAACGTTTTCTCGTTTTCTTGCCCAACCATTACAGTTTAAACTATGGCTGTTTCATTATGTTTCAATGTAGATTTTTTTTATTTTAAAATTGAAGTCGAGTTTGGTCATAAATTTAATTGAAGTTGTTTTTGACTTTGTATAATATGGAAAAGGGTTATTATTGCACTTATACTCTCATACAAAGATTATATATCAACAGTGTTTTACTTAAAAAGTCACTCAATCTATTCAATTAATTTTTTTAAATTAAAATTTACTTACATAAAAAATTTATTTCTTAGTAAAAAAAAAATTAAAATTAAATAAGTATCCAATGAACTGCCAATTATACTATGCTTAAATAATTATCTAAGATCGACAGTATACTATGCTTAAAATTTTATCTAACATCGCTAGTATACTATGCTTAAATTTTTTTCAAACTGTAACGATGTTCCTATAAACCCAAACTAAACATAGTGCAGAAAAAACATCATAAAACATATAGTAGAATTCAAAGGTTCTTAAAATAATAAATCGTAACTATTAAATTTGGGGAGAAAAGGTAAATAAAAGGATCACTATTATATTTATTTTTAGCGGATCGAGTTAAGTAGGTAGATCATCTTTTTACAATTTTAGTTAGAAATAAAAAAATTCATGTAAGTAAATTTTAATTTTAAAAAATTAATTGAATAAGTTGAGTGACTTTGTAAGTAAAACACTCATAGTTGAGTGACTTTGCAACTAAAAAATTCATAGTTGAATTATTTTTGAGTTAAAAATCAAAGTTGAGTGACTTTCTGAGAAAAGAACTCATACTTGAGTAACTTTTTGAGAAATAAGTTCATAGTTGAGTGACTTTTGAGCTAAAAAAAGAGTGAAGACATAAAGTGACACCTAAAGTTGTCTCAAATTTTCAAAAAGACACTTTAACTATACGGGTGTCCTATTACCCCACAAAAGTATTGAATATCGTTGTAAAAGGGTCATTTTGACCCATTTTCTCAACTGGTTTGTGAACACGCACAATACGCGCGTGAATGTTTATTTTTTCTGATAAAACCCAATTAAAAAGTGCCATATTTCACTGGTTTTCTTTATTAATTATTTAAGTGCTTTAAATCATCTTCTTCCCCAAAACATTACGTTTCAAACTCAACATTACCATTTTCAAGCTCTTCTTTATAATATCTCCATTAACAACTTCCTTAAAGTCTCAATTGAGCAATCAATTCTCAAATTCCCTCTATTTTGAAATCCTAATTTGACTGAAAAACTCAAACCCAACAAAAATTGTTCACACCCAAGTGAGAAAATACTAAAACAAATTCAACCCAAAAACAGAGAAAGGCAAAAATCAAAGCAAAACCCAATTACAATACCAAGAAAGAGAAACAAAAAGAGAAAGATAATTATAAGACGATTTATCGATCTTCAACAAAATTGTACTTCGAAATAACTATGTCCCAATTCAATTCTTGAGTAGAGCAATAATGGTGAGTTGAGGTCCAAGCTTCTCCTCAGCAACTTTCTCAGCCTTAACTCTAAGTTTTGCCAACTGCTTTCTCCTCTCGTATGCTATCTGCGCTCTCTCCTTCCTCTTGTTCTCGAGTTCCTTGATAGAGAGACAAGAAAATGTGAAGAATTTGGAAAGCTGAGAAATAACAAAGAAAAAAAGACTTTTCTACTTTAGTAAATAATCGGGGCGGGCTAAATGGGTTGAAAAGAGTGATCATCACGCGCGACAACCCAGATGAGGGAATGAGCCAAAATGGCCCATTTACAAAGATATCAAAAAGTTCTGTGGGGTGATAGGACACTTTCAAAGTTAAGGTGTCTTTATGAAAATATGAGACAACTTCAGTTGTGCCTTTATGTCTTTTCTCCTAAAAAAACAAAGTTGAGTGACTTTCTTTGAAAAAAAATCCATAGTTGAGTGACCATACCTCCATATTTGTCTTTGGATGGTTAAGTCTTACGTTTCTACTTTTATCATCCTACGTAGCACGCCTATATCATCATATATCATATCATATATTACTAAAGGTGGGGAAAAAAAAAGTTAAAAGTTGAAATATCATTTTACCCCTACACTAAATAAAAATATTATGAAATAGTTAATCAATTAAATATTAAATAGTAATTATATATTATTATTATTATATTACACTAAATTCTAAAAGTGGAAAGGTGTTAAGTCAAATTATATATGGAGCCCAACAACTATACTTTAATTCTTATGTTAATCCTTTTAAAAAATAAATTAGTTACATTTTTTCAAAAAAAAAATTGTATTTATTTTTATTTTTCTCCTTCAATTTACTTAAAATAATCTATATATCATATATCATATGGTTACTTTATTTGTTAAATGTTAATATTTTAATTACATAATGATATATATGGAGCCCAACAACTATACTTTAATTCTTATGTTAATCCTTTTAAAAAATAAATTAGTTACATTTTTTCAAAAAAAAAAAAAAATTTATTTTTATTTTTCTCCTTCAATTTACTTAAAATAATCTATATATCATATGGTTACTTAATTTGTTAAATGTTAATATTTTAATTACATAATGATATATATGAAGCCCAACAACTATACTTTAATTCTTATGTTATGTCATTATAATTATAATTGATTAGATTAATTAATTAATTAAAGTAGAAGACAAAACAATGTATGAAACTCTTCCAATTCAGTGACTCTTTGAATTTTGAAATCAAAATAAAATTTATGTGTCATGATTCAATGTGTCTCATTATTGAAACTCTTCCAATTCTGTGACTCTTTGAATTTTGATACCAAAAATAAAATTTATGTGCATGATTCAATGTGTCTCATTATTGAAACTCTTCCAATTTTATTAGATTAATTAATTTAATTAAAGTAGAAGACAAAACAATGTATGAAACTCTTCCAATTCAGTGACTCTTTGAATTTTGAAACTAAAAACAAAATTTATGTGTCATGATTCAATGTGTCTCATTATTGAATTTTGGTAGGTGAAAAGACAGTTAAATATCACTATAAATACCAGTAAATTATAGCCACAATTTGCTTGTCCCTAGATCATCATATTCTTTTTTTTTTATCATCTACGGTTCTCTAATCTTCTTTCTAGATAAATATATAACATATCCTCAAGAAGCTAACTGAGGAGAAGAACAGATGACATCATTCTGAAGTTAGCTTTCTTACAATAGAATAGTTAGTATAAGAGATGAAATCATGAAAAAGAGAAGTTTTCTTACAATAGAATAGTTGAACTTAGTAGTATAGAAGAGATGACACATTCCTTCATATCTTTTGTTTATTAGCTCATAATTTTAAGTTTTCTTTTCCATTTTGGAGTCAAAGTATGGTTGTCCAAATTAAATTTGGTATGCAATCCACATTTTTATGTAATTCTTGTATCATTTTGCATTGTTGTGGAAATTTATATTTATTTTTATTTTTCATTGTGTTATTGTTCTTGTAAGTGTTACTTAATCGACAAAATTTCTGTTAATGTACGATGAGTTTGATAATACTTGAATAATTTATGCAATATGCTCGGATATCCATATGTCAATTGTCTAAATTCAAATTAATGTAAATAAAGATTGCTAAAAAATTGTTACTTTGAATGAAAGATTTTAATTGTATTGCTTTATCGTCTATCTAATATATTGTTACGAACACATACATTTATTGTTCATTTTCACCCTTTTTGTTTTATTTTTAGTTTTTCTACGATTTGTATGAATGAGATTAACAACTTCATTTTCAAATAAAAATGAGAGTTTCATTTATATTTGTGAGACACTAAGCCTAACAATTTTCTTAAACATGAGCAATCTAAATTGATGGTAGTTTTCTGCAGTGTTAAAACTTAAATGGTTGGTGTGATGACAATTTTACTTTTGGATATTTTGGTTGTAATATTATAAGAATGGAGTAATTAAGCTTTATTTTGTTTAGATTTTAGTAATATACATCAGCAAGATTATTCAATATTCTACCTGAAGTATATTGTTCAAGAGTAACATTATAGCATCTTTTGCAATTATTTTATATTGTTGCAACAAATATTTTCACATGGAAAATTGCATTTTCACTTTCAAATTGGAAACACTTACACATATATGTTGTACTAATATTCATGTCATTTAAGAAAGTTTGAAATACTTAATAGGAATACATGTGTCCATAACTAATAGATATATACATTTATTCTACTTCAAATTTTCTCTTAATTTAATTAATATACCCAACCCAATATTATACCCATCCATTTACCCCATAATTAAACCCACTCCTAATACTCTTTCATTGTCACTTTCCCAAGAGAAAATAACGATTGATATTTATAGAAAAAACCAAGGGTTTTATTATGGATTGTGCATCATGCTCAGTTCGGTCATCCCTATGTATACATAATTTAGTTTTGTGAGATGATTTATATTATGTTTGAATAAAATTTGAATTAAAATAAATTTATGATGTGCAACACAAATTTTAGGACTCAGAGAATACTCTCCAAAGGGGAGAATTAGCAGCATTATGGATGATTTAAAAATTGTCCTCTTTTACAAGGGTACCATTGACAGACCCTTATGT